TCATCACATGCCTTAGTCAGCAGTCCTCACTTGCAACAGTTACTAGGACTGTGCTCTGAATTTGTCAAAATTTTGTTCATTTTGGGTGGTCCATTGATGTTGAGTGTTGGTCATTGCTCAAAAAACACCATTTTTTGTTGTAGTGTTGGTTATTGCTCAGCAAACAATGCACCTTTGAGTTAAAAAGAAAAGTTGGGAAAGTCAAAAGTCAAACTTCAACTGATTGTGGGTGTTAGTCTCTGCTCAGTCCTGAGACCTCAGACAAGAGAGCAGTTTCATCCTATGAGGATGGCTCACTGATGTGAAGAAGCCCCAGAATTGAATTTCCTGACTTTTCATATTTCCCAGTGTCACCATCCTGACTGAGGGACCCTGGTCTGCATAGGCACAGGGAATTTTGTATGACCTTGCAAATACGTTTAACCTTCTGAGTGTGGGTTCCCTTGTGAATGGCAGTGAAGGAGGGTTCTTCCCTAACCAGCTTTCCTTGTGCTTTTACCTTGCAGCCAGTTGCTTATTTAAAATACAAGTTATTGCAAAGACTTAAGAATTTGTTTTCTTCTATAGCTGTGATGAGGAGGAGGCCAAGGAGATAAAACAAAGAGACTGAGAAAAAGCAGCTGCTTTTGCTGCAGCACTAAAAGAAACAGACCCTAAGTCTGATTCTTGGGGCCCCTAGAAGAACTCGATGACTATATTCATCTGCTACCACTGTTAAAAGCCAGGCCACCTCAACAGGAACTGCCCTAAAAAGCCCCTTGGGCCATGCCTTGAATGCAAATGTGACCACTGGAGATCAGTCTACCCTCTGAAGCAAAGGCCCCAGAGCTCAGACCCATCCTACCAGTTAGTCCAACAAGAATGAGGGGGCCCAGGGCATACTCTGCCTTCTCCCTCTGGCCAGACTGTCATCTTCATGGAGGAGCCCCGGGTAATCACGACTATAGAGGAGAAAGAAACACTGTTGCTAGACACAGGTGCAAGTCTCTTGGTCCTTCTTTTCAGTCCTGCCCTTCCTTCCAGCCATCACACCTCAGTGAAAGAAGTCACTGATGAGGAGGTTATC